ATTAAAAGAAAGCAAGGAAGGAAAAGTGCACTCAAACGCCAGTGGTTCAGCAGTCAGCTGCACGGGAAAGCATGGGCTTGATGAAAAAAGAAACGAGCTGCAATTCCAGCCTCGGTATCAAGACCAGATGTCAAGCTACTTCACTGTAATTACCTGCTTAAAAATGTAATGACGCTTCTGCTTGAATCTAAAAACGCAGACACTTATCAGCCATTGAGACTATTTCTTAATGAAAGACTGCTCTATGCCCTGCCTCCCTTTCAACAAAACAGCGAAGTGCGAGAGCCATGTATGGGATTAAACGATCCAAATCCTCTAATCAACGACATGATTGGAGACAACAAAAGAGCTAAGAGGATCCTTACGTAATTCAACTGTAAATTTGAACTGCTTGAGTTACATTATTCCTGGGAGTCTAAATATCAGAGTGATAGATAGCCAACAAGCTGCTGGGGGGGAGGTGGGGGGATGAAAACAATCTTTTTTTGGCAAGTCACTCATAACCTTGGGGTCTATTTTCCATATTTGCTGAAATCCTATCATTCTCAGATCAAGGATATGCTGGTTGGGCAATAAAAAAAGCAGAAAGAGTCTGTTTACCTATGGTGTTCAGTTATCAGATCAAACTAGCCCCACAGCAAGGAAAGAATGCTTAACCAACGTGCATCCTAATAACTACTGACAACTGAGGGAAAATACTCTTCCCTCATGAAAGGCTGCAGCCAGTGCGCCGCACGCCAAAAGGAAGACAGGCGGATTCATGTTTTAATTTACTTTGGTTTTTTAAAGTCAACACTTGCAGGCTTCACAAAGTAAAACCCAGATTAAGGTTCTAAGCCACGATGGATGTAAAAACGGTGCAAAAATACTTCATGGAGATAACTTCTGATCTAAAAATCGCTAGGCATGATCTTGGTCAGCCTGAGTGTTTTGCAGTGAAAAAGCTGCTCAAAGATTTTACAAATGAGATAATAAAGCTCTGCTTCTGTGGGGAGTATGATACGCTATCCAATCTTTGGCTCAGGTCATTTTAGCGATTTTTATTTGGTGACAGGAAAGCATCTTTCCTCAAGGCGTCTCTCCCTGAGTAGCAGATCTCAGTGCTGGTAAGAGGGAAACAGTATGTCAAAGCTAAAACACACACACACACACACACACACACACACACACACACACACACACACACTCTGACAGTTATGAAAAACTAAACTAATTGCGTACATTTAGAATTCTCTTAGTACTGCCTAGTAACCTGCAAATTCTAGGATGATAGCTTCTCCCTGGAATGATTTTTAAATTGTTACTTTCTTCCCCTCGGTTGGTTTCTATAGGAAGGGCTAAGACCTCCAGTGGGGGAAGCTGCAGTACATTTATTACAATACACAAAGTGAGAGGAAAAGATAATATCTTTTAAAGCAAAAGCAAGCTTAAATAGAAAATACCGCCACGAGGGACCAGATCAAATGCAGGGATGCACATGGTAGACAACTGGGGAGGAGGAGGGGAAGGGAAAAAATGATGAAAATAAGGAAGAAATGGGTAGCAGGGGCACTAACCCACCCAAGGGGAGGGTATTGTTTATATCTCCACAGGAAAAGAGGGACCAGACTTCAACCCAGTGCCCCAAGGTGTGAATGCAACATTCCAGCATGGGAGTAGGGAACCAGTGGAGAGGTCTGGGGGGCTGGCCCCAGTCCCAAATACTAAGT